ATATATGCACTACAGAGACACTCGCGCAAAGTATACTGAAGTAAGTTTACAAGTATACTTCAGACGATTTCATATTAGAACTTTAAGGTAAGAAGAAAAGCTAAAACTTCATTATATTGCGTGTTTCGAACAAACCTAATGGTATACGACATAACGACCTGATGATGAAGCTTTAGCGCCTATACGTGAAATTGGTGACATCAAGAAGGGCACACATGTAAGACGATGAAATATCTCATCACTTGGATTACTTTTTTGATGAATATGACGTCGTACCTGCGAGAGCAGTATTAGCTGAAGCTCGCTGGAAGAATTGAAAGTTCCGTATACCATAATTGGTAGCCTATTTGCTGAACCTCTGTTTGAGCCTGCCTCTGTGTTCGTCAACCATGTTTCTTGACACCCATATACACGTGTTATTTCTGACGTTGCTGTCTGCCTATGCGAGAGCTGAGCGGGTGTCAATATTTGGTCTTTGTAGTGCCTTTGAAGGTTTTCTCTTGTTGCCAGGCGCTTTATGGTCCCTTCAACACCGTCACACGCACTCTTCCCAAGAGAAGTAAAGAAGTTCTGAACAACAGAAACATCTAAATTCTGTTCAGGGGGACAAAGGCTGACAATTTTTTCTCGATATTTATACTGCGCTGGCGCACCATCTGAAAATCAATGAACTTTTGTAATATTGGGCGCGTCATTTTTTAATCTTTCTAGTATTTCGCTAAAAACGCGTTCACGGAAGAAGAGTCATGCTCCAAGCAGTCTGATATTACAGGAAATGATTTCACAGAAATTTCTGAAGGAGTGCTTTTTTGTTGGTAAAAGTATGCGACAAAGAGATTAATTTTTGGTTGGGTGTTCACCAAGTGATAAGCCTGCGGAGCGTCTCAAACTAAGAAGCTCCAATTCTCAGCGAAGTCTAGCAGCAAGATCACTTCGCTTTTTATTGAGCAACACTTGAGCTCGCGCAAGTATCGTGCCTGCTGCTTGCTAGTATATTTTTGTGTCTTTATTTGCTCCAGCATTTTCAAAAACCTATCGCTTAAGTCACCCGGAATCAGCAGTAATATTTCAAGCAAGTAACGCTTTCCCTACACCGATTACTGCAGCAAAAAAGAGTCCACATCTTTCTTCAGAGCTGCTGGACACTGTAGCAACGCTTCTGCCATGCGCATTCGTGGGTGGCTCTTGTACATATTGAATGTACAAAAATCACTCTCCAGTGCACACACTGTCGTCGTGAGTATTTCGTCTATGCATTCTTTCAAGCCAACTGCCTGGGGCAAAGCTTCAAATCCTGGTGCTCAATGCAGGCACAAGCATTTTGTGTTTCACCTCCGCCTGCTAAAATTCACTGCACAGGCCTTGAATTTGCGTATATTGAGAAGCCTCAGTCTCGTCTAGAACTTTTTTACTGTTCAGAATGCATTGCCTTTAGACTAAACAGGAACAAGCGCTTTTTCTGGCTTCGTAGCACGTCCTTTTTCCCAGGAAAACAATATATGTCCGAACCGTCTTCGTAGAGGTGCCTTATAGAAGACTTTACTTCCTAGGTTAGGGGACGAATGGCTTTCCTCGATGGTGTGCTAAGCAGCCCAGAGTGTGACATGAGCTTCTGCGCTTCACGCACTTGTCTTTCTGAGGAACCAAGAAAATTCATGATTTTCTTCCGGGACCGCAATTCATCGGCCAATGTAAAATGTGTATTTTCTTCTGCTTACTGTATTCTTGAGAAAACTTCGTTTTTAACCCTTCCATCAAGAATGCATAGTAATTTCATTTGAAATGCTCGCTTCTTCGCTTCGCGCAAGTTGATGGTTAAGGCATACCAGGGTACGAGCACATCCTCACCTGCATTTTTTTCTGAAGGCCAGAGACCTTTCTTTTAAAGTAGGGCGCTCTTCGTTTCCATTTTATTTTGCGTATAAGAGGGATTTCTTCCATGGCGTTGAGCGCTTGTTTAAAATCTTCTACAGCTTGAGCTCCTGTGTTATTTGTGACTTTGGAACTCTGCTCGTCTAGATCAGTTTCCAGGCACAAGTGCTACGTAGTGCTTCTCCTCTTTGATCGATAACAGTCACGTATCTTGCCCTGGTAATGCCGTTCTCTTGGTACGAGGCTTAAAGAGAAATGTAGTTCGAAGAGCGCCATGCTGATGATCGACGATTCACGATGGTTTTTGTTATTGTAAAGAAAAGAATTGGAGCATCATCGTGAACCTAGATTTAATGTCTACTTTTTAATGTAAACTTGGTAGTGATGTGTGCAGATTGTACGGTCGTCATTGGTGTTCCTTGAACGAAGATTGATGAGTCGCCTCTCCACACTGGTCAGATGCTGCACCTCTAAAAGGTATCGCTTTTTGGTCTCAGTGGTTTTATGGCAACCTTTGGGACCCACAGAGCTCGGGGGTACACTGTAAATATTGTCCGTCAGAGGCACGGCAAACGTCGACGTAAAGCTCACGGGTGCCTCTCAGTTCGTGGGAAGAAGCAAATGGCCGTGGATGCCAACGGACGTAGTGCTGTTATTGTAGGTATGAAGACTATGCAATTCTTCAGTGGGCCTTATGGACAAGTCTAGAAGTTGGTCGCTCTGATCAGTTATTTTCTTGCCGTAATGCCACTACCAGGCCAATTTTCGGGGGGGCACGATGTGTTGACAGAGAGCTTGGGTGCGTGTAACTAACATTCGTGTCTTCATAGTTCCTCTTTAACCTTTTTACTGTTATATGAATACTCTTGACGTGTTCCCGATACTGGCATCACCGTCACGCGCCATATATTGTCCAAATAGATAACAGCCCCCGTAAATCGTGTGAAGCAACGCGACGAGCACCCCGAACGCGGCTGAAGCAAATGGGAAGCAAGCCGACCCATCTCAGCCGCATGAAGGGCGCATGCAATAAAACCACCGGCGTGCGAGGCATGTCCCTCGATTTACACTCAGGCAGAGAGGAAACGCCCTGTCTGTCTTGAGGAATGCCGGGACCACGGAGAACAAGAGGGAAGCTGCCATATAACCAAATGGGAAGATAGCCGCCAAGTATAAACTTGAAAAATTATTTTAATCCACGTAACAAAAATTGAAATATTAAAAGTTGGGATATCAAAAGAACTGCTTACTTGCTTTCCAGTTGAATATAAACATTACCTTTATTTGACCACCACGTGGTGGAAATTGGCCTCCATTTCGGAAAAGTGGATGTTCTTAGGAAGTTCGTGAATTTTTTTTGTAAAGTTTTGTGACTTGAAGGGTGCAAATGTAATTTTTTTGCAAAATATACCTTCTATGAAGTGATTAATAAGTTCCCAGATATTCAATAAATAGCAGTAATGCAATGGAAAAACTGCAAACATAACCCTTTTCGGAAAATTCTTGTTGGTGTATGTGGCCAAAATATTGCACTATTATTGTTTAGACTAAAACACCTTGCACAGGCACCATTAAATATATAAACTAAATTTGGTATTAAAAGGGCAAGTGACACTTTAAAAATATAAATTTTTTCCCGAACAACAGCCATAGGATATTTGAATAAATTCGGAAAGAACTCATGTGACCACATTTTTTTCTTCCAGAAATATTCTAGTGATTCACTGCTTTCGATGCAGAAAATCAGCAGGATATTTCTTCGAATCGATTTGTATGGTCGCCAAAATAGCTGGTATGTTTGGCGTAGAATGACTTCACTACGAACTGCACTGGCAGCGAGTAATGCTCCCGACTTGGAGCTAAAACATCACTGCTTTTGTGTAAGGAAAGAGTGGGATGAAAGGAGAAGTAGAAAAAGGGAAGAGAAGGGTCTGAATTCCTGCATCCTGCGTGCGCCTCGGAGATTGTAACGGCAAGGGTCACGTGCTGCCGCCGCGTGACAATCTACCAAAAGTACAACCAAATTACTCAGAAATATGTGACCTTTCTTCAGCGGAACATTCGCGCCTTCCTAACAGAATTTCCGTGTTTTCATAAATTTTTCATAATTTTTATTTTTTATCTCTTCAGGCGGCAGATAGTGAAATTTCTATGGACCACTACCACACGGAGTCCCTCACAATAATCGAGGGGAGTTGGGACGCAAACTTGTCTCGTTTTCTTCTTTCTTTTCGAGGAGAACATGCCACACGCATTACCCCCCACCCCTTTTTTTTTGGCACGACCACACAGGAGCCACAATTATTTGATATAACTGATAACGCGGCACAGCGGCATTATTGTAAGCAGTTTGTTTGGCCATAGAGAGAATATAAATATTGGTGGTTCCATCTCATTATCATCACTGATATGCTGTTGAAAGCAGTATCGATGTAATGGTGGGTTCCAAGCGTTTTTATGAGCTTGCGGGAATTTTCAAATTATTGTGATCCCTGTGATGTGACAATGCATATGTCCTATCATCAAGCATTTCAGAGTTGTCAGACTGCACGTACAACAATAAATACAAAACCAACTGCGTTGAAATTAACAGAGCTGGTGTGCAATCTTTTCTTTTTTCATTCTCGGTAAGAAAGATTTTTTTTCTGTTTTATACGCTTCACAGTAAAAAAGTGGTCAGAATTGCAGGCAAATGAAATTACGTATAAGTGGTTTGCGCAACTAAATGCGTAAGTTAATCTCTTCAGTCAAACAGCGGATATGTATAATTTTATGGTTTACTTATGTTTTTGCATGCGAAAGTTAACTACGACAGCCTCATAATTTCTACGAACTGTCTTTTCTCAAGTACACAGATTATTGTACTGCATTGGAGGTTTAGCGAATACACCGAGCTTGTACCGCAACCGCAAAGCATGGTTGCAATATTGCTTCAACAAGAAATTCCTCAGAGCGTGGGCCCCTTCGCGACACCAGAACACCCACCACCGCGCGGCGATCCAGGCGGCCGTGTGTCGGCGGGCCGGATCGTGATAACATCTCTCCGACGTGGTTACGTGATGCATGTACGCGGCGCTTCCTCCATGACGCGGCGCATCAAGGTCGCGCATGCGCGGCGATCGCCAGCCAACATGTGCGCTTGTCACGGCGGAACGTCGCGGTCGAAGACTCGTTAGAAACGACCATGTTCAACGTCGATTTGCAACACCAAGACGTGTATTCGTTGTCTTATTCTGATCGGCTAACCCGTGGTTGCGTAAAGTGAAACAATATGCCACCAGAAGTTTGAGCAAGGTGTCGTTAACATCACTGCTTCGAGTCACCATTTTGTCGGAGCTTTCCCGCCAAGCTGACCAGCGAACAAGTTTTGTGGATTTTGCTGTCAGGTAAGTCCTATCTTAACGCTCTCGTGAACGTTTTCCGCCTCGGCCTGTTCGACTGCCGACAAAATGCTCATGCCTTGAAGTTTTACGCTGCTTTGAAGTCGCACAGAGCCTTACTCGAAAGCGGCTGTTTTTTTTTTTTTTTTTGCGAGCGCGGCTTCGGCGTACTTGCGAATTCTCTGCAACGGTGTCGCGTGCCCCTGACCATGAAGTTACATACCAGGGGTTTAGTGGTGTGGGCTCGATAGCTGCTGTCACGTACGTGTCGTGTAACAAAGCACATTGCATTATGCTTGACAAAAATTCCTCTACGTCCCGGGTAAGTGACCGAAGAAACTTCGCATCCCATCTTTTTCGATGCAGTTGCGTTACCAGGCGACACGACCGAAGTTCCGTTGGCGTGTTCCGTGTAGATAAACAAGCCACTTTGATTGGCAGGCATGTGACAGCTGGGCTGTATCTGATTGCAATGTGGCACCTATGGATATTATCGCGGCATATTCTGCCGGCAGCGTTTATTTTAACGTTTGCAGGTCTTGAGCCAGCATTAGTTGCTTAAGTTACCTCCAGCTTGTTGTCCTTTTGGCTCTCGCTATTTTCGCAGTGTCCGTTAGTAATTTTTTCGTGTCAGTTGGGCGCCAGTAATTTATGCTGTAGCGCATCGCGGCTCTCGCTATTTTGCTATCAAGAAAATATGTATTAAAGCAAGAACAAAACGAAAACACCATACGAAATACATCGCCTGATTGGAGCAACCTCGATGGATGCACAGCGCGTTAGCACGGGCGCTTTCCATGCTCATAGGGCAAAAAGGGACGAAGAAGGTGCCTTCGCTGTAACGGTTTGGCAAGAGTGCCGGCACACCAACTCCGAGCAGTATAGTCCCCGTTGCCGGGGCTATATCTACTTCCGTCAATGTCCGCACCTTGTGCCGACAACTTTTTTTTGAAGAAAAGCAGCTCACTCTGCTTCTGAAAGAAGGGGTTCAAAGTTCATTTAGCGGCTGCCACCTTTAACTGCAGCTCTATGAAAGACTTTGAAGGTCCCTGAGATATGCCATTGTCATTGCTCTAAATTTTTGCAGTGATATTGCTAGCACTACTTGGTATAAGTAGTATGACTGTTGCTGGTAAATATACTGTAATACTATACTTTAAAAATATTTTGCCGTTATCTTGATACCCAGCATCAGGGAAAAGGTTACACGCGGAAAAGAAAAATCAACAACAGAGATTGAACATGAAACTGAAATATACTGGCAATTTTTAATTGAAACGCTTAGGTACCTAGCATTAGTCACATGTCACTAATAAATGACCTCATTTGGCGCTGTCATTTGGAGTTGAAGCCAGCGATACTTGTTGGAATAGGTATACCTAAATTTGGCCAGCCCACCTTGCTGTCTGTGCAACTTCAAGAAATTTCGGAAGCACCAGATGGACAGCGAAGCGAGTGCAATACGTTGTCGTTTCACATTGTGCAAGTGTAAGTGAAATTGAGCACTTTGCTTGCTTTTTATTGATGGCACAGAATATATACTGTGAAATCCTAAGTGAGTGTTTCTGCCTTCTTTGGAAGATTTCAAATATGTGGCCGCTTGACTCCTCTAATCATTTTCACTCTTTTATGCTGTTTATGCGCCAAACTAAAACAGGAAATGCATGTGTGTGTAACTTATGAATAACAATGCTGCACTCCCCCTCCCCCCTCTCTATCTTCAAACAGAAAATGCCGCTGCTATACTTGCTTTGTTTTGTTTGAATGCCTAAGTTATTTTGCTGCGTACTGCAGGTAGCAAGCAGAAGTACCCAGACGAACTGTGCAGTGCTGATAACATGGTGAGCCAAGCATCCCAAAAGAGGTGCTTATTCAGCATCTGTGGCTAACTCAAAGGTAATGTACAAAGCTCCATTTATTGAAGAAGAGTGTTGTTTTGAGCTAGACATGTCGAAGTGAAATTATTGCAAAATAGGCTAGGGTGTATAGAGTAACATCAGGTTGTATGCTACCTACCAACGTAACATTATTCATGCCAAAGTTTTAATTATGAGCAACCTTTATTTGAGGAAGAAGTGCAATGATTTCCATGAATGAGCATAGTTGGAAATTGCTGCACAACTAGTCACTGTGTTCCAAAAGGACTTGTTTTAGGGCTAGTTGGTGCATACTTGGTGCAGAAGACTGAGGCGCAAAAAACATAACTTGAAGCTTCTCTCCTGCTCTTCCTGCTTCACGTTATGTTTTTTGCGCCTCAGTCTTCTGCACCAGTCACTGTGTTTTTGCGCTCATTATTATGTGGCCTCCCACTGAAATCAAATTGTTTCAAATAAACAACAGTAGAAAGGCTCTTGCTAGCTATAATAAGGAATCAATGTTATCATAGTCTTTCGTTTCAATAAATTATGCTGTAGAAGATACTCCACCTATTTGGCACCATGGTGAGTGCGTTTCGTCTGGAAACGCGACTTGGTTTTGCAAATTGTTGCCTTTCTGTAGAATGGGGTACTGGCAAGTGGAATTTCGAAAAAGCTGTAAAACTTTATTGTTTCTTGCAGCAAGCATTGCTATCGTTCTTGTAAATTCATGCATAGTGTGAAGAATAGTGAGCCACCTTGAAATTTACAACCTTATTAGTGCAGTGTGTTGGACTGTCTTTACTGTATGCGATTTGTGTCTGTCAAATATAAACCTAGTTTTTACGATTTTTTTGTCAATTGCAAATTTTCTGTGCACGTTTGCAAGCACACTTTCACCTCTGATGCTAAACAAGAGGCTTGAGTGATGTGCCTGATTCTTGTCTATGGATTTTTTAAAATACCGAAAATGAACTCTTCTACTTGGCGCAATTATTGGCTACTGTGTGCACGTTCTATGCATCTAGATACAAAAATATAGAATACAGCTGGTACATTGAATACTGTGTTCAGAAGCTCGTGTTTACTGCGAAATTTTGCTGGTGCCAAAATTTGTTGTGGGTGTACGTTGAAGCGACTGGTAGCTAGCAATACTGCATTGTTACAGCTAATTGCAAAATGAAGCATTTTGCAGCTGCTCACGTAATCCGAGCCGATGTCGATCACCTTCACTGTGGTACGACATAGCCACAAAGTGCAGGCATCTGCAACCTGCATACTAGGAACCCTTATGTGGAGCAACGTGATGCTGTGATGGGTCAGCTGAGTGATAACTGGGTTTTCTCTGTCTGTCAATATCATTAAGCAGCTTTGCTAAGTGCACTCGAGTAGATTCGGCAGGCACTTGCAGCTACAGTGTCAGTAGTAACAGCACAATTAAATAGCAGAATTTTCAAGCGGTATATAGAATTTTCCAGAAACTCCATTATTTTGTGACAACTTAACGTCACAGAATGTTGTCATTCCTTGGTGGTGGGACATTACAAGAATTATAGTTTCTTATATCATGCAAAATTATTTTAATGTTTTATACTGTATATAAATTAAAACTTTTCAACTGCTTTCTCCCCAACTAAAGCTTAACTTCTGCTGGATGGTCTCATGAATGAAAACAAGAAACCAGGCCTGGGAAAGCAATAAGGTGCTCCATTATAACAGAAAAGAGTATTGCTGTGGCTCAGTCTATAGCTAAATTTTTTAAAGGCACCAATGTGGATTTCATGTGAGTGTTTACAGAGCCTAATTGTGTTGTGCTACTTTTGTTATCGCAGGAAGCACCTCCCAAAAGCAGTGCTACAAGGAAGTGAGCCACAAGTTCTTTTCAACGAACAGATCAGATGCCTGAGAGCCACGGGCCGGCTGCTTCTGGCCTACACAGGCAGGGCAGCCACCACAGTAAAGTTCTTGCAAAGGTGTGAGACATTCCTATGTTGCATAGAGTGAGCATGTTAATCGTAGGTTTTATAGCTTATACTTACATATCTGCAAAAGAATTCTCTGCACAGTGCGTTTACATTCTCTCAAAGTGCCATTAGGAAGCTTCGGCTCTGTGTTTCTTTTTATCACCTTTCAGACCATCTTGCTAATTCATACAGAGTGCTCCAGCAATCGCCTTCTGTGAGTATCGCAGAAACTAAATTTTTAAAAACAAATATGGTCACCCCTTCATGCCTGACCAGTGTATACTCCTCGCTAGCGAAGTGATGTGATTTTGCATTGACTGTCGGTTGGTTCTCTCTGCAATATGAAGTAGTGTTTTGGCCCTAAATTTACGCCGTATAGATTGTATCGTTGTGAGGCATGCTGCATATTTCTTTATCTATGCTATGTCTTGCACAGTACTTCCTCACTATGCTGATGTACACAGTGGCACATCAATCAGGTCTTGCTTAGTTGATGGCTGCATGTTGCTTGTACAATCATTGACGTCATGCTTTGTTGCCATGTGACTCTAGTGAAGATGGTAACGTATGCGTACCCCTCTTCACGTTGAGAAAAGTGGAGAAGCCGAGTGAGAAACTGAAAAACAGCTACACTGTGTGTTTTACAGCTGTGACTTCATCATTTCATCATGTGAACACAATATTTGATGCAACGTGCTAACATTTTACAATTTTGCAGTTATCAGAAATTTTAAACGGTGGGGTTGTTTAGTAACTTTTTACATTTCAATTATGAGTGGTCAATTTATCCACTGCATGTCTTTGTTGATATATATTTTGCGATGCTCATTTGTGAATTTGTCTGTAGCTTCTGGCAATATTCATGTGTTCATTGTACAAAACATTCTGTATGTTCAATATGTACCATCAACAGCAAATGTTTGCGGGACACGAACTGTTCGATGAATCTGAATTCTAAATTTGTCTAAGAATGTAATTTTGAAAGAATTATTACATACTGCACTTCGCATTCCGACCTATGCAGTGACCAGTCTAATCAAAAGCGTTAAGTACCGACGTAGCGGAAATTCGCATTTGTTGTCAATTCAGCATCTACCAAGCTTTTCCTGTGTATAGTAATTTCATGGATTTTTCATGGCACTGGAGCCACCTCCTTTCTCCGCTTTTGCAGCTACATAGCTGGTAGTTCATTGCTTTGCTGCTTAGTTTACCTGATACCCATTCAAACAGTGCACCTAAAACATTGTTCTGGATGTACTTGCATCCATAAGTGTTAAAAATGATTAATCGTGGAGCTTTTTTTTTGTCCTATGGCTTTTACTTTTTGGCAACTTAACTGCTGTTTTTAGAGCAATGTGTAGATATTAAGATTGACTCTACTAAGATTTTGCTCAAAAAAAAAAGCTGCACAGTTGCCGAGGTGCATGGCCTGCGCCACAGCCTTCTAGGTTACCAGAAATAGTTTCAAGGCCGGGTAATATGTGGCTCCTTGCTAGTTGCGTGTCTTGCTTTTACTTAGAGCTACTTTCATAGTCCTAAAAATTATCTTACGTCGCTTACAGATGTGCTACTATGTGAACAACTCTCGCACTGAGTGGGTTTGATCTTTAGGGCAGCAGTTGCACTTTTGAAAGAGGCAAAAATGACACAGGCCTAAGTGCTTTTGAATTGAAACTCACACTCGAAACGCCATTATTATTGTTATATTGATTGAACAAAGTGTTAATTCTAGATTGTATACATATTTCAAATAAGAGAGTTGAGCTGCTTAGTATGTTGGTATTCATGTTAAAAAGGCAGAGCATGCAAACATGGGCTCGATAGAGTAGTCAAGACACTGCAAACACCAACTGGAAAAGCTGACATTGAGCTAGAAATGATACAAGGCAAGTGGAGATATCGATGAAGATGCCATGCTTGTTGGTCTATGTGAGAATTTACTGCTCAGCATTTGATTTTATCATTGAGTTATTCGATGGTTGGCTCACACATGCACTACCACATTTCGCTATGCCAAGCCTCCACCATTAGATGCATTTCTTCATTTCTGTGCTTGTACTAAACTGCATGATTAGAATTTTTGCATGCGTTTACGTCGTGATATAAAAATAAGTTTAAAGAAGGCCCTCTGGTTAACTGCCTTATATGTTCTGTTAGTCTGCCTTCTCATTGTTGGCAATTGAAGTGTCCTGACCCACCTGCGGTGATGTTTGTATGCCCTGTCTTTTCAAAGTATATACATATAATGTGTAAGAAAAATAGGTTATTGAGGGAGTATTAAGATGTTAGCGTTATGTCTAGTGTAAAATCTTGTTTCTGTTTTTTTTTCTGTTAGACTTTTTGCTTAACAATGACTGGGCATTATTTTGGAGCCTGCGAATGGGGTAGCATGCTTTCGAGACTGCTACATCATGAGGCCGAGAAAGTCAAGTTGGTTAGATGGGGCATGCTAGAAAAAGTTAAAAGTTTCTAATGTTTATTTGTTTTTTCGGCAGACATTATACAAATACTGTCCCAAAGGCTGACAGAAGGCTGTACAGATGGACACACAGAAGACGTCGGACTGCCTGAGAAACTGTGTCTGAGCGTTAACCTCTAAGTATTTGCGAGTTCGTGGTCTTGTAATGTTAGTCTGTCAAGTGGTTACTGGACCATTTGCAATATTCTCCGAAATTGCTGCTTTGGTGCCTGAATGTGGGAAGAAGTGGTTCCAGCACAATTTTTGGGGAAAAACTTTCGAATACAGCTGAGGCCTTTGAAATCATGTGCTCAGATATTGAGTTATGAGAGAAAAATAACTGACACATGATTGTTCCTTCTTGCTTTTACCACAGTCTTTGTTTTTTTCTCAGCAAAAATTCATGGCTATGTTAACGAAGTAGTTTTTGTTTCAATTTGTGGTAATGTTGGTCGTGAGGAAACATGGCAAAATGGTACTTGCCCATGACACGCAAGTTGCGAGATTGAGTCCTGGCTGCGGCAGCTGCATTTCTGATGGAGGCGGAAATGTAGGCCCGTGGGCTCAGGTATGGGTGCACGTTAAAAAAGCCCAGGTGGTCGAAATTTCCGCAGCCCTCCACTACAGCGTCTCTCATATTCATATGGCGGTTTTGGGACGTTAAATCCCACATAGTAATCAAATCAAACATTGCGAAATGCAGTGTTATTCATATATTTCTCACAAGAGTGATTTTCTCTTGTAGATTAAAAGCTTAAGGTTTGTTTTAAGGGCATTTAACAAGAGATAAAAATACTTCTAACTCTAAAAACTGAAGACGCCTTCAAACATTTTTACTCTGGGTTCTTTGGCTGATAAGAAAGTCTTTAGAACACCGTAATGGGTGAGCATTAAATTGAGAAGAAAGGCTTACTGTCCATATCTTAAAATTCTATTAAACACTACAAGACAGTTATCCTATTATGGCAGAAGTTAAGATGATGATAGGGGGGGGGAGGGCTTGAATGAAGGTCAAATCATTAAAGAAAGTGTGTTCTTGGAGCCAATCGAGATTTTTCAAGATTAGGTTGTTTTGAATGTTTGAACAAAGTCGTTTGTCTAAGTCGTGGCAGTAACCTTGATGCGGTTTGCTGCTCTGGTAAATAGATGTCCTCTTGGCGAATCACTCATTTTTAGCATCATGGTCATAGCGTTATAAAACTGTTGAGCAGCCAGACCCCTGCTAAATGCCTGGTTCTCTACAGCTTAAGTTTTGCACCCAGTATTTATACAATAGAAGCATTTGTTAAAGTTGAGGATCTGTAATGAATGTGTTGAGATGTATACCTGATGGAAAAAATCATTGAACGAATGTAAGAGCTTGTTATTCGACAACAGAACTTTTCATTACCGAGGCAGCAAACTGCAACGAGAGTTCTGGCTCAACTTTTACAAATTGTTTTATTCAAACACTGGCTCAAACAACCCACCTAATTTAGCGATATGGCACTCATTCGAGCCCCCCTCTTCCTGTTAGCTCCTGCCGTAATAAGCTGTATAACTGTCATGTAGTGTTATTGGATTTTAAAAACTATATATGCAAGCCTTGCTTCTGAATTTGTGCTCACCATTCGTGTTGATGCATTATTTATTGTCTTCATCAGGCTAATACCTCCACTATGATGATATCAGTAAAGCGACGTGTACCCATCCAGCACTCTGTCACGCACAGTGACAGAGTGCTGGATGGGTTGAGGCGATGGAAACGACAAGAAAGTCCTAATCCTTTTATCTCAGAGCTCCTGTTTCTCGCTCTAAAGGTGCCGTTACACTATGTTCCCTGCCACATGTAGGCCTTTGAAGTGGTCTACAATGCGCTTTATTTTGTGTAACATTTTATATTATAATACAAAAATTATTTGTTCACCCCACATAACTCTCCATGGTGCTAGTAGTTACAAAAATTGAACTGCCACATCATGTTACTAATTAAACGGAATTTGTTATGCTAGTCAAGGAATTCTTTTGCAGTTAGATTATAGTGTGTTTAACATTGAGTTCTTGTCTACTATATCATTAGGTCTTCGTAGCATCCTGCTGCTCGTTCTACATGCGATCAGCTGTTGTCCAGAAATACCGACTGCTCTTGTGATTTATGAAATAGTAGTGTGAACAGAGGTGATGTATGTAGTACACACCATAGTGGTTTACACTTTGAAAATTGCTGCTGCTACTATAGTTCTTTTTTGTACTTACTTTTCAGAATTACAGAAAGAAGCCAAAAAGAGCTGTTCATGGGCCATGCACACAGTTTTATTAGCGGGACTTTAGCACTTTTGACAATTATGTTTCTGAATACATCTGTCAAAGTTGTGTTCAAAGAAGTGTGTAGTAGTGAATTTCATTGTTCATTTGGCATGCTGTAGCAGGTATGAATCACACATCTGCGAGATAACGCAGCACAGTGCTTACACACAAACTACCCCCACATACATTTTGAATTTGTGGCTTGACTGTAAATTGTTTACTTTGACCTTGCACAACCAATAATAACAAAATGACATGAAAGCTTTGCCTTCTCTGTAGGTATTGTTCTCATTATATGCTGGCAATAAGTGTGCAAAGTTCAACCAGTCCACTGGTCACATATTTTCTTGCAAACATTTATAGGTAGAAGGCAGGGATTGTTGGAAGCTGATACATGGTAACGAGTGGACCGCGACTGCAGAAGTTTTCTGCTTTCTCACCTTCGTACACGAGGTGCCATAGTCAAATTGTTCAGCTTTGTCTTATCACTCAGCCGCGTTCAACAAGCTCTGTGTCAAAACGAGTTGCATGTAAAACCTAAGCAACATCCTCTTTACGTCCTTTAGGTTTCCGTGACCATTTTTTGTTTTGCCCATGAAAGTTGTGTCACAAATTTTGCATTATACCTTACAGATGACCTCACATAAACCTTCAGTGCTTTTTGGTATACTTTGGAGTATACGTTCACGGACCGCACATCTGCACATTATCAGAGGAAGGTCTTCTACAAAGTACACTGGGGTATTGGAACGCCACTCCTATTGACAAAATGGGCAGAAAGAGTTCAGAGGTTTAAAGACTGCAAAGGGGGGATGTGCTGTTGCCACCAGTGCAGCTTGTTCCAAGACTGAGTTTAACTGCTGGACAACGAGGTGTAGCTTCTATATAAACAGTGCTTGAGAGTGGCTTGGAGACAGATCGGGGGGGGGGGGAGACTTGGATTTTTGGTTGTTTTCAACCAATACCTTGCAAGAACGGGATGTTCACGAGGATGTACATTCCTTAGGAACTGATCAACCTTCAGTGACTTGTTGCCAATATATGCTGCAACAGCGGTCCGCATAGGGGGGAACACTTTGATGCAACTTTATTAAATGCAACCCGAAGTAAACTTTTTACACTCATTAATTCTCACATGGTTTGAAACATCTTTGCATGTACAGATTGGCTAAACAAAAAGAAATTTGCAAAATGGGGGAAGGCAGGATGTTAAGCGAACCTAGCTCGTGTGAATGTTTGGCCTTGGTGTAACATTTTTAAAAAGTTCAGCTTAGCACTTCAAATCACAAGGATGGGACAGGCTTTTGTATGTTCGGCCTGTCCCATCTTCATCGTTTCAGTGCCGCGATTAGCTCTATAAACCTGTCATGTGCTCTTTGTGCCTTTGTTTGCTGCACGCTTCATTCTTGTGTTTTTTGTGTAGAGTTCAGTTCAACTGGATTCCTGTTCAATTTGGTGTTGTGTACATAACAAAGAAGTACATTATGGAGGAAGCCATGCTTGACTGCATTCATTCCACAAAATCATGCTACCCGTGCAAAACATATAGTGCATTGTAATCTTTCTATGAACCCTCTGTTGCAGATGAGGGTGAACTTGCAGATGAAGGTGTGCCCAGAAACTAAATTAACAGCGTGTCCAGCCAACAAAACTCTCCATAAAACCACACAAAAACTCACATTCACAGGCATGCAGAACATAAATGAAATCCTCTATTGCTATATTTTGCAAGCAGGCTGCATGCTTGGCACAGCTGTGGTGCAGCATATTGTTGTGCGGAACAATACAGCAGACTGTTGTGTGGAACAATACAATCACTTTTTGTATTAGTTGCAATAACGTATAGAATACGTAAGAACGCCTTGTTCGAAGAAAATTGATGTATTTCGATCACGGATTAATATCTGTTGCCTTAATAGAGTGACGAACTGTTCTGTGGTAACTGTGCTGAAGCATGACTTCCGTGAAGAGGCTACTTCTTAAGGAGATAGTTGTATTCTTTCTCACAGAATTGCTCGGCACCACTATACACTGAGCATTTTCCGTGAAGAAGGGTCCTCATTTTGTACAATGTAGTTCTCTGAAGGAAGAGAAAAATGATATATTTTGAATACAATTCAGATAGCGGCACCACATAGTATATATCTGAAAGCAACCCTGAACCCTCCAAAAACATAGAGCACATACCCACGTTAACTATTCATCAGAAAAACATAAGGTAAATAAATACGCATGTTTGCTAGATCAGTTTTATTATTATTCAACGTCATCTTATGGCAAGTGCACCGATCAGTGATCTAGACTTGTACAACTGTCTGTCTTCATGAAATGAGCATATTTTGTAAAGTATTCAGCTCACCTCCATGCTCAAGGACAAAGAGTAAATCCTTACCCATGGCTGCACAGTAGGCTACCTCGTCAGAGAACACCAAAAGTTCAGCTTCATCACAAACTTCTATGCCATCTTCCATTGTTAGGCCACACGCAAGCAGACATATCAAAAACTGTACTGCACGCATTTGTAGTACTCTTGAAAACGAGGGCTAATAAGGGGCCTCTCGGGCGAACTCATATGCCGGCATGAGGCTGAGTCATAGAATCACTCTACCGATGCAGATATAAATCACGGCGCACACAAGCTTGCTCAAAATATACCATGGTTCTGAACCAGCCCCCGCATCCGCAGAAAGTCTGAGACAACAGACGGCGGAGCAGACGGCAGCTTGATCTGAGCAGACGACAACTTGATCTGAGTAGACAGCTTTTGATCAAAAAAGATGGCAGTTCGATCAGCACAGCCTTGCACCGAACTGATGGTCACATAAAAGACCAAATGTTTCTCTTA